CCACCAACTAGACAGATCTTCACAGGGCATTGTCTAAGGCAAGCTACCACCAACCAGACACATCTTCATTGGGCAATGTCTAGATCAATGTGTAGGTCAATTTCTAGGTCAATATCAAGGTCAATGTCTGGGTCAATGTCTAAGTCAATGTCTAGGTCAATGTGTAGGTCAATGTCTAGGTCAATGTCTAATTCAATGTCTAGGTCAATGTCGAAGTCAATGTCAAGGTCAATGTCCAGGTCAATGTCGAAGTCAATTTCTAGGTCAATATCTAGGTCAATGACTAGGTCAAGCTACCACCAACCAGACACATCTTAACATGTCAATGTCTAGGTTAATGTTTAAGTCAATGTCTCGGTCAATGTCTAGGTCAATGTCTTGTTCAATGTCTAAGTCAATGTCTAGGTCAATGTCTAAGTCAATGTCTAGGTCAATGTCTAAGTCAATGTCTAGGTCAATGTCTAAGTCAATGTCTAGGTCAATGTCTAAGACAATGTCGAAGGTAATGTCTAGGTCAATGTCTAAGTCAATGTCTAGGTCAATGTCTAGGTCAATGTCTAGGTCAAGCTACCACCAAGCAGACAACACTTCACAGGGCAATGTCTATGTCAAGCTACCACCAACCAGACACAACTTCACAGGGCAATGTCTAGGTCAAGGTAACACCAACCAGACACAACTTCACACGCCAATGTCTAGATCAATGTCTAAGTCAATGTCTTGGTCAATGTCTAGGTCAATGTCTAGGTCAAGCTACCACCAACCAGACAAAACTTCAGAGAGCAATGTCTAGGTCAACCTACCACCAACCAGACATAACTTCACAGGGCAATGTCTAGGTCAATGTCTATGTCAATGTCTAGGTCAATGTCTCTGTCAATGTCTAGGTCAATGTCTAGGTCAATGTCTAGGTCAATGTTTAGTTCTAGCTACAACCAACCAGACACAACTTCACAGAGCAATGTCTAGGTCAAGCTACCACCAACTAGACACAACTTCACAGGGCAATGTTTAGGTCAAACTACCACCAAGCAGACACAACTTCACAAGACAATGTCTAGATCAAGCTACCACCATCCAGACACACCTTCACAGGGCAATGTCTAGGTCAAGCTACCACTAACCAGACACGACTTCACAGGGCAATGTCTCGGTCAAGCTACCTCCAACCATGCGGATCTTCACAGGACAATGTTTAGATCAAGCTACCACCAACCAGACAAATTTTCACAGGGCAATGTCTAGGTCAATGTCTAGGTCAATGTTTAGTTCTAGCTACAACCAACCAGACACAACTTCACAGGGCAATGTCTAGGTCAAGCTACCTCCAACCATGCGGATCTTCACAGGTCAATGTTTAGATCAAGCTACCACCATCCAGACACAACTTCACAGGGCAATGTCTAGGTCAACCTACCACCAGGCAGATACAACTTCACGGGGCAATGTCTAGGTCAAGATAACACCAACCAGATACAACTTCACAGGGCAATGTCTAGGTCAAGCTACCACTAACCAGAAACAACTTCACAAGGCAATGTCTAGGTCAAGCTACCACCAACTAAACACAACTTCACAGGGTAATGTCTAGGTCAAGCTACCACCAACCAGACACAACTTCACAGGGCAATGTCTAGATCAATGACTAGGTCAATGTCTAGGTCAATGTCTAGGTCAATGTGTAGGTCAATGTTTATTCAATGTCTAAGGCAATGTCTAGGTCAATGTCTAGGTCAATGTCTAGTTCAATGTCTAAGTCAATGTCTAGGTCAATGTCGAATTCAATGTCTAGGTCAATGTCCAGGTCAATGTCGAATTCAATTTCTAGGTCAATGTCTAGGTCAATGTCTAGGTCAAGCTACCACCAACCAGACACAATTTAACAGGTCAATGTCTAGGTCAATGTCTAGGTCAATTTCTAAATCAATGTCTAGGTCAATGTCTAAGTCAATGTCTAGGTCAATGCCTAAGTCAATGTCTAGGGTAATGTCTAGGTCAATGTCTAAGTGAATGTCTAGGTCAATGTCTAGGTCAATGTCTAGGTCAATATCTAGGTCAATATCTAGGTCAATGTCTAAGTCAATGTCTAGGTTAATGTCTAGGTCAATGTCTCAGTCAATGTCTAGGTCAATGTCTAGGTCAATGTCTAAGTCAATGTCTAAGTCAATGTCTAGGTCAAGCTACCACCAACCAAACACAACATAACAGGGCAATGTCTAGGTCGAGCTACCACCAACCAGACACAACTTCACAGGGCAATGTCTAGGTCAAGCTACCACCAGCCAGAAACAACTTCACAGTGCAATGTCTAGGCCAAGCTACCACCAACTAGACAGATCTTCACAGGGCATTGTCTAGGTCAAGCTACCACCAACCAGACACAACTTCACTGGGCAATGTCTAGATCAATGTCTAGGTCAATTTCTAGGTCAATGTCTAGGTCAATGTCTAAGTCAATGTCTAGGTCAATGTCTAGGTCAATGTCTAGGTCAATGTCTAGGTCAATGTCTAGGTCAATGTCTAGGTCAATGTCTAGGTCAATGTCTAGGTCAATGTCTAGGTCAATGTCTAGGTCAATGTCTAGGTCAATGTCTAGGTCAATGTCTAGGTCAATGTCTAGGTCAATGTCTAGGTCAATGTCTAGGTCAATGTCTAGGTCAATGTCTAGGTCAATGTCTAGGTCAATGTCTAGGTCAATGTCTAGGTCAATGTCTAGGTCAATGTCTAGGTCAATGTCTAGGTCAATGTCTAGGTCAATGTCTAGGTCAATGTCTAGGTCAATGTCTAGGTCAATGTCTAGGTCAATGTCTAGGTCAATGTCTAGGTCAATGTCTAGGTCAATGTCTAGGTCAATGTCTAGGTCAATGTCTAGGTCAATGTCTAGGTCAATGTCTAGGTCAATGTCTAGGTCAATGTCTAGGTCAATGTCTAGGTCAATGTCTAGGTCAATGTCTAGGTCAATGTCTAGGTCAATGTCTAGGTCAATGTCTAGGTCAATGTCTAGGTCAATGTCTAGGTCAATGTCTAGGTCAATGTCTAGGTCAATGTCTAGGTCAATGTCTAGGTCAATGTCTAGGTCAATGTCTAGGTCAATGTCTAGGTCAATGTCTAGGTCAATGTCTAGGTCAATGTCTAGGTCAATGTCTAGGTCAATGTCTAGGTCAATGTCTAGGTCAATGTCTAGGTCAATGTCTAGGTCAATGTCTAGGTCAATGTCTAAGTCAATGTCTAGGTCAATGTCTAGGTCAATGTCTAGGTCAATGTCTAGGTCAATGTCTAGGTCAATGTCTAAGTCAATGTCTAGGTCAATGTCTAGGTCAATGTCTAGGTCAATGTCTAGGTCAATGTCTAGGTCAATGTCTAGGTCAATGTCTAGGTCAATGTCTAGGTCAATGTCTAGGTCAATGTCTAAGTCAATGTCTAAGTCAATGTCTAAGTCAATGTCTAGGTCAATGTCTAGGTCAATGTCTAAGTCAATATCTAAATCAATGTCTAGGTCAATGTCTAAGTCAATGTCTAGGTCAATGTCTAAGTCAATGTCTAAGTCAATGTCTAGGTCAATGTCTAGGTCAATGTCTAAGTCAATATCTAAATCAATGTCTAGGTCAATGTCTAAGTCAATGTCTAGGTCAATGTCTAAGTCAATGTCTAAGTCAATGTCTAGGTCAATGTCTAGGTCAATGTCTAAGTCAATGTCTAGGTCAATGTCTAAGTCAATGTCTAAGTCAATATCTAAATCAATGTCGAGGTCAATGTCTAAGTCAATGTCTAGGTCAATGTCTAAGTTAATGTCTAAGTCAATGTCTAGGTCAAGCTACCACCAACCAGACACAACTTAACAGGGCAATGTCTAGGTCAAGCTACCACCAAGCAGGCACAACTTAACATGGCAATGTCTAGGTCAAGCTACCACCAACCAGACACAACTTCACAGGGCAATGTCTAGGTTAATGTCTAGGTCAATGTCTAGGTCAAGCTACCACCAACCAGACAATGTCTAGGTCAATGTCTAGGTCAATGTCTAGGTCAAGCTACCACCAACCAGGCACAACTTCACAGGGCAATGTCTAGGTCAAGTTACCACCAACCAGACACAACTTCACAGGGCAATGTCTAGGTCAAGATACCACCAACTAGACACAACTTTACAGGGCAATGTCTAGGTCAGGCTACCACAAACCAGACACAACATCACAGGGCAATGTATATGTCAAGCTACCACCAACTAAACACAACTTCACAGGGCAATGGTTAGGTCAAGATCCCACCAACCAGACACAACTTCACAGGGCAATGTCTAGGTCAAGATACCACCAACCAGACACAACTTCACAGGGCAATGTCTAGGTCAATGTCTAGGGCAATGTCAAGCAACAAAGAAGTAATCCCAGAAGCTCACTTAAAACGCAAAAATATTAATATATCCCCTGTGAATATTATTCTTTGGAGCATTCCTACAACTGAGTGAATTTCACCAAAAATTATCTAACTGTAGAAATATTTTGATTTACGAAAACGAGTTATATACAAGACATAAAAAAGCTATGAGACTGAATAAAAATTTTAAAAAATCATTAAGCATTGACATCAGTTTTACCAAACTCCCCTGGCAATGTGATTACAGACATTTAAAAAACCCATTAGTACACGAATATGCATCCTCCCCTGCATCTCGTTAACCCAAAATCCTGTGTCTTAGAGGATTTATCGGATAATGTACCAGTATAGCGGGTATCTATTAAAGTATTGAATCATATTATAACAGAATAATTCCCCATGGACCCCGAGGCTCTTGTATCAGTTGCGAAGACTATTGTATTCTGACACAAAACTAACATCATGGGAATATCACATAGGCGGCACATCCTGTGAGGAATGCATTAGAAATGGGCCACAATCAAATAAGAGAATCTGGTCAGAATCACTTCCAGACCTTGTTCATGATATAATGAATCTCATACACTATATGTAAGAGCAGTACCGGTTGATAAATAAAGCTGCTAGCGTTTACCCATCTTCTGGCAGTGCTAAATATACCCTCTGCCGACTATCCACCGACACTACGATCTGAAGGTGTTCGGAGTGCCGCTATTCGTCAGCTCTCGTCGATTTCGACTTGGTGTGTAGAGGCTGAGAAGGTCCAGCTCACATTCCCGTCCGGTCGGGTCTCTATAGCAGTTGCTTCACCTAGCCAGGTTAGTATCACTCTTAGATGCAAAAACATGTCGCCAGAGAAATATCCGTCCCACACAACGTACCAACATCCCCTACCCCGGGGTCGTACGGCAAGGCGATTGAATGTCGCACGCGCATTTGTCAGAGATGTAATGATATTTTGTCCCACAGAATCATCCATGAAGTCTGACTGTCATCGGCGATTTATTACCAGATACGATCTATTTCATGGCTCCTTGGTACTAACCCTTCTATCCCCTTCATACATCACGGCCCACTGGTACTAACCCTCCTATCCCAACTGTACACATACAGATACTCATTATCCTGTTAAATTAACAATAATAACTCTACTAATAACAGTATATATTGTGTCTGATTGTTTGAAGCTTGTTTTATTGTTGATATCTAGATATGTTTAAATGACGTGCGTATCATTCCACATAATTGTACAAAATTGTTGTACATATTTCTCCTAATGTGTTTTTATTGCATTCTTTGGTGTTCTTTGTTTACCATACATCAGGAATTAATATGGACTTTTATTCTGTAAACATTAAACGTAAATTACCTGTGTATGCACGTGTGTAGTTTCGGTGTGACTAATAATTTTAGAGAAAGCATTTTACAGAGAAAGCATACAAACTTCCAGCTGAGCTAAATTGGGCGCCGTCAGATGGGGTAAGAGATACAGTGTCAGGAGTTTCTACCAACTAAACATTGTAACACTGCCGCTTACTTGGCACATACGGTGTGGTGCGTATAGGTAAAACTTATATATATCTCTAGTACAATCGTCTGTTTGAAGGTTGTTGCAGTAGGTAACATAGAGATGTGTTTCCCTGCAACTTGTAGGCATAGGTAGAATTCCATTATTTCTGCATCCCTAACGGTCCTCGCGTGTGTGCCTCGCTCTACAATAATCTGATCCCCTGTGTAAGTGACGTTTCTCTTTTTTTTTTTTTTTTTAAAGGATGGCTATTAGGAACTGACCGACCATTGAAGATGCGGGTGAAGCTGTTTCGGGATTCGTTCGATACCCCCTGGGGTTTCCGCTTGCAGGGCGGAAGGGACCTGAACCAGCCCCTTGTAGTACAGAGGGTAAGTGTGCGGCGAGTGTATGTATATGTTTGCGGCTTGTGATCAAGCGCTTCGCCTTATATAGTCTACACGTGCGGCCGCGTGCGTGATCCTCGGTAGTTAGGAAGTAACTGACGAAATGTGTTTGGGTGATTGTCAATTATCATTTACCATGCTAAAATAAGTGTCAGACATTTCCCAGCCTCATTCCCACCTTCCGGGTCCATCTTTTCCGCCATCTTCCGGTAGGGTAAGTAAGAATTTATCCATGCAAAACTCACATGTGTTATTTTTAGAACTATTTATAACTTTTACCACTGCAAACTTGACCTTTTCAAGCATTTCAATGTCAGGTTTGTTAAAGACAACTTTACGCGTATATTAGGTTGAAGTGTCTAGAACGGAAACAGTAAGCTGTTCTAAATTAGTTGGTGATTTGTTATGGAGTTGTTCAAACTTAGCAGGCGATAACATCGACGTCCTATAGGTATGGAATGCCGTGATTGGGTCGCGTGCCAAAGACGTGAATCGTTACCGGATATGCGACTGGATTAAAAAAACTGACTCGCAGTGAATTTAAAATGTTGATTTGTGACTGAAATTAAGATTAATTTTTACATTGCAATATTTTACTGGATCACTTCATTTTGTACACAAACTACTGATAAAGATTCAAGTTTAAACAAGTAGATCACTTGCTTCTTCTTTTCTTTTGTATCAATTAACAAAACATCTGATGGGTGCTCTTTAGATCAAACGCACATGTTTCATGTTTAGCTTCAAATGGTCTCGGGATCTTCCTGTTTAGCAGACTCGGGGATACTACCTATTTGATTGGTTTGAAGGTTTATATTCTTGTTTCAAAAAGAGTTGAGCTTCAATGTAGTATTACGGAGTTGGTTTTTGATGGCTCAACGTTAATATTAGCTGAAAGGTAGATGCAATATACCTGCCGTTTCGGCCTTCTCAGTGTATAAGAACATCTGTATGCCATTCTAGCCCATCAGGAGGAACACCCCCCATTGGATGGGGGTGTACCTGGCATAATACGGCGGTACGGCTGTCATCTATAAATATAGGTTCACGTGATAGGGAAGCAATACCAATCTTCAATAAACAAAACCAAGATGTTTCACATTTGTGTAGAAATTATCTTACGCTTGATTTGTTTGAAGTGATGGTAAAATATGTCCAATTATGCTTTCCGTAGAAGTCGAAAATGCTTTAGATATGTTTGTATGTTGTTTTATGCTGACTTTTATGAAATTGCTGGGCAATATGGTGCAGGTCGAGTAAGACCTCTGATTGTTATCATGGGCATTGCAGAACATCTCCCCGCCATAATGCTAATGGTTGCACGTGGCCATGAGTAAGTTGGTTCGGAATTTTCAGAAAAGGTGCCAGACACATATGACAATAGGTCAGCCACATCCCGAATTCCCCCCTTCTGTGACTCGGTATGTCATTAGTATTACGGATTTGTGATGTAGTTGAAACTCATGATATTTTATAGAAACGCTTTAAAGCGCTTTGGTAACAAATAAATCATATTATTAGAATTTCCAAATCAAATAGGCTTTCAATATTTTGTTATCAAATTATTACATAAGAATTGTCTTATATGTCATAATCATAGGCAGGTGATTTATAAAACACACTGTGTCAGTGATTTACAAAACACACTGTGTCAATGATTTACAATACACACTGTCATTGATTCATACAACACACTGTGTCAGTGAGTTATACAACACACTGTGTCAGCGATTTATACAACGCACTGTGTCAGTGATTTACAAAACACACTGTGTCAGTGATTTACAAAACACACTGTCATTGATTCATGCAACACACTGTGTCAGTGAATTATACAACACACTGTGTCAGTGATTTACAAAACACACTGTGTCAGTGATTTATACAACACACTGTGTCAGTGATTTATACAACACACTGTGTCAGTGATTTACAAAACACACTGTGTCAGTGATTTACAAAACACACTGTGTCAGTGATTTACAAAACACACTGTGTCAGTGATTTATACAACACACTGTGTCAGTGATTTATACAACACACTGTGTCAGTGATTTACAAAACACACTGTGTCAGTGATTTACAAAACACACTGTGTCAGTGATTTACAAAACACACTGTGTCAGTGATTTATACAACACACTGTGTCAGTGATTTATACAACACACTGTGTCAGTGATTTATACAACACAATGTGTCAGTGATTTACAAAACACACTGTGTCAGTGATTTACAAAACACACTGTGTCAGTGATTTATACAACACACTGTGTCAGTGAATTATACAACACACTGTGTCAGTGATTTACAAAACACACTGTCAGTGATTTATACAACACACTGTGTCAGTGATTTACAAAACACACTGTCATTGATTCATACAACACACCGTGTCATTGATTCATACAACACACTGAGCGTGATTTATACAACACACTGTGTCAGTGAGTTATACAACACACTGTGTCAGTGATTTATACAACACACTGTCAGTGATTTATACAACACACTGTGTCATTGATTCATGCAACACACTATGTCATTGATTTATACAACACACTGTCAGTGATTTATACAACACACTGTGTCAGTGAGTTATACAACACACTGTGTCATTGATTCATACAACACACTGTGTCGGTGATTTATACAACACACTGTGTCAGTGAGTTATACAACACACTGTGTCAGTGAGTTATACAACACACTGTGTCAGTGAGTTATACAACACACTGTGTCAGTGAGTTATACACCACAGCGTGTCATTGATTCACACAACACACTGTGTCAGTGAGTTATACAACACACTGTGTCAGTGATT